TCTGAAAACACTGTCCAGAAGCGGAACTGATTTTTTTTGAAAAACAGCTAAATATTTTGCAACACTGCTCATACTGCATTTTTAATTTTCCCTGAAATACAGGAAATCCTACGCCGGCTCTCCGGGGGGATTTGATATTTCGATATTTTTATACTGGAAATCGTAAATTCTATAAGATTCCCCAATGTTGGAATGTGTAAAATCGCCAGAGTGACTTCCCGCAAATATCAAAAAAAAGGCGGTGAAATCGCCTGACTGTTGAAAAAAAGTAAGCACACGTACGTAAACGCCAAAGAGAACAAAAGAGTGCAGCGGTGATGTGGAATGAAACGCCAAAACGTTCGGACGTTGTCGCTGATTGTTTGCACGTTAACCTACCTACTTATTGGTGCCGCTGTATTTGATGCGCTCGAATCGGACAACGAAATGCAACAGGTTTGCGGTAAATTTATGCGCACTGATGTGCTTTCACTTAAGTGACTAATGCAACTCTTTTAGCAAAATTCAACACCACCTATAGTCGCGGTAATTGTCAGTTCCCCTCCTCTTCTCTTCTCCACCTGCTTCCCAGGAGCGCTAGTAATTCCTGCATTTTTGGAAATTCTCAGGGCACTTGGTTCAAAATTATGCTCACGAAATAAGTGAGATACTACAGGAATTCGGTAGACGACAAAGCACGAAAGGGAATTCGAATATAGCTATACCAGTTATAAAGCACAAATAGCTTAGCTGTTCACCACTGATCGTCACGTGGCGGCTTGTAAAGTCTAGAATAATTCGGACTTTTTGATTCTGAATTCCTGGCCTTCCATTTTGTCGAGTCAGCTTTAGGAGATTCGTTTTATTAGATCAGGTCCGGGATAATTTGAAGAAGTTGGACTAACTCCAAAAGGTTCTGGAATAGAGTGGCTGGATGGCCCTCTTTTTATTCTATCGTCTTTGTAACAAAACTTCGATACTTCACGGAGCTAAGAATTCATTTTCTTTGTATTAAGGGATTAAAGATCACCTTTTTGGCTTGCTCAGCAACATATGCAGAGTGGTCTAGAGTGATCGTTTAAAATACCACTTCGTCTCCTGAAAATTAAAATAATGGAAGCTCAAAGCAACTTCATTCACTTCATCACCATTTATTTGTAATTATGCAGTGAGCATACCGACATTTTGCGTAAACTTTGTTTCCAGTCTGTCGATTTTCAGGCCCATCCCCTCACTTTTTTTTGCAGCTATATCCATTTTAGTCAGGAAAGTACAGTCTTTAGCGCCACAGTCTTTAGCTGAAAATGGCAGGTAGAAGGACTACCGGCTGGCAAAAATTCGAAGGTACTGCCAGTATCAAACGGCCAAAATAGAAAAACTGTAAACCATTATGCTGAAGGCAGTGACATACAGATCTAAAACATGGTCACTGACGAAAGCAGAGGAGCGGCTGCTGCTAGTAGCAGACAGGAGATGGGCAGAGAAGAATGCTTGGAGTGTTGTCTTTTTCGTAATAATTTAAGGCTTGCCGTTGCAATAGTGTGCGGGCTGCTATTGCAGTTACATCAGAAAATGAAATCTGGCGGCTACTGCTGAGCATTTACACGAGTCAGTGTCTGATATTTGCGAAAATGAACGACTATTCGTGTGGCTTCGAAAGAGTGAGCAGCGTGCACCGACATGCAAAGTAGACAACTGGAGATTTACATCCAGTAAAAAAGGCTTTACGTAGCTGAACTCGGCGTGTAGGAGCATGCCAGTAACAGCACTAACGTGGAATCCTCACACTGATTGATGCCCTGGGCAGTCCTGGTATTTTGGTACCACTATCTTCTTCAATGGTGGTTTCTGGCTTGACAGATTTCAGAGCTAAATGGCGCTCATTAAATTCTTTTTTTGGTCGAAAAGCTTCATATATCATTCTGTTCAGTGCAAACCATCTCGAGATTTCAAGACATTGCATTAGGAGGTTTTAGGGGAGACTACGCATGATTGTTGCTCACTGCTACCGTAAGGTCCTCACGAAACATCCGGTTGGCAGACTAATACAGTATCTATATCAAGCCTGTGTTCCAGAGAGCATTGGTGATGAAAGTGAAGGAGCGCCTTACAAATAAGTACAATATCAGCGAAACGGATTATCAGGTGCTGGAGGCGATTATCATGAGGTCCATACCTCATCGAGCTGGTCATCAGTGGAAATTCAGTGGTGCCTTTTATTTTGCTACTACTGTCATCACTACTATTGGTAAGATTTCTGGTTCAGTTTACTCCTAAAACGCTTTATATTAATAAATAAATTCTTTGGGATCACAAGTCCAATCCTGATGGAGTTCGGGAAGAGGTGTAAATTTTCATGAACCAAGGAAGAGGTTGCAGTAGCATGTTTGCAAACTTTGTTAAACTGTGCGCTCCACATTTTACAAAGCATTATCAATATTTGCCAAGGTTCAGCGATTTGAAGAAGATACGGTCCTAGAACTAAGAATTCTCGAAGGGATCCGTTCCACTGAGAGAGAACTGGAGTCCAATCGGGAAAATAAATAACAGCTTTCTGGAAAAATGGAAAATAAACTCCTTTCCTCCTAAATATGCTTTTGCAGCTAATACGAATAGGAGCTATTCTAAGTTATAGATTGTATGAATAGGAATGGCAGGAGAATTCAAAGGCGTAGTATTCAGAGATCTCAAGAATCAATGAACAACAGATATCGATTACAGCAGTAGCTCCATGAAATGGCTATCAGTTCACTAGTGATTTAAATTCGAAACATTTGCTAGTGGTGCAGCTGATAACTTTGCCTCGATTTTTGGTCTTTCCGCATCGACAAAGCATCAAAAACGTCAACGTCAAAACAATCGAATTAGCGGATCAGCCCAGCGCATCGATGGTCTTCCAATAGCTGTTCTTACAGAATAAGGGTGCAAATAGATTATTTGATAAAAACTGCAGCTAACACTGAACCCAGGTTGGAACGCACCAGGCGAGCCGGTGCGATCATGCGTTTTTGCATCAAACTTTGAGGTA